CTGGTTTTCATGAATAAAAATAGAGGTAACCTTCTCTAACGAACTCCCGACCAATCAGAATCACGCACCAGAGCGTATAAAAAATAGCAGTAGTTGTCTCCCTTCTCTCTCTCTTTTCTCTCTTCTCTCACTTTAGTCATGATGGTCTGTTTTTTTTAATCGGTCGCCAGCAATATCCGACATCACGTCGAACACTCCAAGTGCAGGCAGGATACATGTCATTATCCTCAAAATAGGCTCAAGCTATTGTACAATTTTCAGACAGGTACACTCTATATGGGCATCAGTGATTAGAAAGTTTGCATTTTGACGATGAGACTCGCGTTCGATTCTCACCATTGTCGATTTGTCAGTCATGAGACTTCCTGGTGTTTTCGGACTGTACGGGTTAATCCCAGCGTGCGGAACCTTTGGAAAGTACCTGAAAACCATACCAAGGGTTGACCCAAGCTTTGTGAGTGAAATTGTCTAGCACGAAGTCACAAGCCATCGTGGTCGAGGGCTTGAGCGTGCTGTGTTGAATAAACACAAATGTGCCTGAGCAAGCGTATGAAATAGGGATTGGCTAGCTGATCTAGTAGACTAGTGGCCAGCGATAACATGCACTCTATATACAAAGCACATGTATATAATTCTTTCCTTCTATTTTTCTTTGTTTTGCTTGTTATAGCGTTGTTATGTGTTTCACGCATAAGAAGAATGATTTGTTTTTATTTAGTCGTTGTATAACGACACATATGACTTGTCTCCCATACTTTCACCTCTAACGTACTCTACAACTTCTACTGCAATGTTAGGGTGAGGGAATTACTGAAGTGTCAATTGTGAGAGGATATACATAATAGCATCTCTCATGCGCTGAGTGCCTATGAGTCTGAAATTGAGGTCAGTAATTCATACAAAGAGGAAAATAATAGTGGTAATGAAATTATGCTTCAACTTTATTTTTCAAAGAAGAAAATACAACTATATTTCATAGATGTATATATTTGGCATTAATTTCAATGGCTTTCGCCACTTATAGAACAGTCCTTCGATACCTGTTGAGTAAAATCGGGCAGGTTTTGACCTGAAAAAGTTTTCCATAAGCTCTTGAATTTGGTCTTCATGTAATAAGGGTTTCCCCATCAAATCATTTTGCAGTTCTCAAAAATGGTAATAATCGTTCTTTATTTTCTTTTTTTTATATATATAATTTCACACCAAACAAGGTGATAACGACTCCAAGACACAAGGAGTTCCTGGTATTGAAGGAATATGAGACGACTTTAGTGAGAATAAAGGACAATAAAAGAACTGATTTCAAGAAGACGGTAATAAACATTGTATTTAAACTTTTGAAGAACGTAGGTGACCAGAAAGAAAGAAAAAAAACTGGAAAAGAGTTCCACAGGAGAGAATTCTGAGAAAACAATCCATTAAAACAGAACATACGGTTACATCTAGGTATTTCAACATAAAAACGATGAGACCTAACGGCCAATCTAGTAGTACGCTTAAATTAATGCGGTCGAGGTGCCAAGGAGGAGAAGTCATCAGAACAATTGCCAGGAAAATATTTATAGAAAAGACAGAGGGAAACCATGTCACTGCTGCAAGAAAATACCTAAAGTCAAAATGTCTGCTCAGGACCGATAAATTATAAAACTTTCTTTGAATTTCTTCAATAATTACGAGACATAGTAGGAACACGAGACCATATGTGACATTAATATTTAATACACTGGCGAATGGTATGTATATAAATATTTAAGACGGATTCTAGAGAGAATAATTGTCTGGCACGACACAGTTAACTAAATTCCCTAGCAGAAGAGGTAGTAATTAATTCAGTATACCCACTCTATTTCATGGAAAACATGGAACCAAGAAGCACTGTGTGTTATTCTCCCGTAGAGGTTAGCATCAGCCATGCTGATGGAAGGCAAAAAAAACTTTTCTATAAGACAATCAAAAGAAGCCAGTTTCGATTAAGAAAGATTAAAAATGAGGTATTTTTTTAGCCCAGTTAATAATCGATTGAATATCATTTTAAGATAATATGCTAATATTATCGAATTTATCAGACTTACCATTAAGAAAAAAGTAGATAATACTATAAGACTATGATCTTCTTCAATGTGCCATATCCCTTCAGGACGTAGGCGATCATGGTTCTCCACAATTTCCTGTCATTTATAGCACTTAATAAATGTTGTCTTTTTTGCTATTTCTCCTAAACCGTGTTCTGCCATTCATTTACTCAGGCTCATCCCTCTTCTTCTATGTACCGTGTCCCTTCAGGACGTGGGCGATAATGGCTCTCCACAATTTCCTCTCTTTTTTTTTTTTTAGCTCTTAATAAATTTTGCCTTTTTGTTATTTCTCCTAAACCTTGTTCCTCCATTCATTTCCACAAACACATTCCTCTTCTTCTATGTACCGTATCCCTTTAGGACATTGGCGATCATGGCTCTCCACAATTTCCTGTCATTTGTAGCTCTTAATAAATTTTGCCTTTTTGTTATTTCTCCTAAACCTTGTTCCTCCATCCATTTCCACAAACAAATTCCTTTTCTTCTATGTACCGTATCCCTTTAGGACATTGGCGATCATGGCTCCCCACAATTTCCTTTCATTTGTAGCTCTTAATAAATTTTGCCTTTTTGTTTTTTCTCCTAAACCTTGTTCCTCCATTCATTTACTCAAGCTCACTAAGTTATGCTATTTCCTCTGACCATCTTGTCTTTAATCTGTCCTGTGAGTATCAGATTTTCCAAGTCCTCTTTCCTCATTATGTACCCTAGAAATTTCAAGTGTTTCTTCCTGATGTTAAGTACAAGTTTCCTTTTTGTTTAAACTTTCTTATCGTTGTTTACATGTTCGTTTGATAGTATCCTCAGCATCCTCCTGTTGAACTCCTTAGGACTCCTTCTTTATCTGTGAGGAGATTGTCCATCATTCACTGCTATACAGGAGGACTGATATTACGTAACAGTTCAGTACTCTCGTTTAAATACCCTTTGAAATTTGAATTTAAACTTCTCTTCGTACACACAAGATAAGTCGTCTGTTTGGGACCTCGTTGCAGGAGTCAGTCAGTTATGTGCCATGCATGATACACGCTTAGGCGATCATGTATCTTTCGATACATGACTGACGAGGAAGATTTTTTGCCGCAGTTATAGAACCTCGTCTTTCCCAAGGATATTAACACGTAAGTGAATGTAATGCATTCAACTAGAATTCGAACTCGGCTCTCCGATTCCTTAATCCGAGCCGCTACCCATTACTCCACCGTTCCAAGAGACTGTTGTTGTTGTTGTTGTTGTTGTTGTTGTTGTTGTTGTTATTATTATTATTATTATTATTATTATTATTATTATTTGTTTAGAAACATATCAACATCCTTATGGGCCATTTAAATGCGAAATTTAATTTTCTTGTGAACATTAGTAATTTCCAAAATGTCTTGCTAGTAATTATATTATGATGAAAATGTATTTCTGGTATTTTTACAATGAAAATATATTTTTCTATTTTTATAGTGTTTTGAGCCCACTTTGGGAGTTGACTATTTACCTATAGTTGGGACCCTGACAGGTGCTACCACCATAGGTCAGGGCTAACCTGGGAACAACAGTAATTAAGAGGTGGTTCCACAATCCTCAAAAAATCCTGTTCAGAGGCCTTGCTGCCGGATTTAGTTTATCGTCATACCGAGGAGGCATTATATTAAACGCGAAATTAGAAGGGTCGTTTATTTGTAAATTCGGACGTTACGAAGATTTTTGGAGATTGACGAGGACATTCCAAAATATGGACTCTCCTGGAGAATAGTATTGGTCATGCTGATTGAAGATAAAATGCGCTCTCGACGTAACAGACGAACCTCGATCCAACATCATCCTGTTGTGTGTTATTCTTTCTGCATACGCCCTGCTATTACTGCAAGGTGTGCTACCATAAACCAGTTTTCCTCTTAACTGCCGATTATGAATAGTAGTTTCACTGATACATTCTTTTTTGCAACTTGTTCCCCAAAACGGAAATTATTTATGAGCCAGCCTGATAACTGTGCTTGCCTCAACTAAATTCCATGTTCCAATATTGATTTTAGTCTTCGATAAAATGCAGCGTAGTTGGTGGTTTCCACAGATGTTCAGCATACTGCACTGTAGTGCATCATAATGCATCCAGTAGAATATTTGAAAAGAATATTCTTCACCTTCCAGGTTTTTCGAGAGAGAGAGAGAGGGAAGGTATTTTTTTATGGAATAGAAGTGCTGCATCCTAACAGAAAAGATTTTCTCATCATATTCCAGCTAAAGAATTGCATTAGCGGTGTAGATATTTATCTTATATAATATAAAATTCGACAGTGGAAATTTTAAAAAAATTCTTTTACTGACAAGGTAGATAAGGTAATTATGGGGAAGTGATTCTAAATGTAGAAAATCATATTAAAGAAAATACCCCTTCCTTTAACAAAGTATTCTATGCGTGGGCTCGTGGACATATCAGGTGGGTAGCTTACATAATATGTTTCAGAATATAATCAGTATTTGATTGATTCATTTTCTACGGTTTATCAACCCCTTGTAGGTTATTTAAAGCCAGGTGAGAAGAGGTGGGTTCATACCTACTCAGAATATAATAAAGAAGAAATGATAATGTAGATATAAAATGGGGGATCAATTCTATATTGCAATCAATAGATAAACTGATCCCTCACTTTACGGCCACGGTAGTTTCTAAACATTTATAATCCAGAGAATGTAAATAAATCAAATATACATTTCTGCATAGATAATCAGTATTAGATTGATTCGTTTTTAACGACTGCAACGGGAATTGGAACACGGCTCTTTGATTAACAATTACGAGACATTATCTATTACACCACCCGCACACCCAAGCCAACAACAACAATTACGAAACATTATCTATTACACCACCCGCACACCCAAGCCAACAACAACAATTACGAAACATCTATTACACCACCCACACACCCAAGCCAACAACACCTGGTATTACCAAGCGGTCACCCATCTAGGTACTGACCAGGCTCGACGTTGCTTAACTTTGGTGATCGTACGGGAACCTATGTTTCAACATGATATTGCCGTAAAGTCTCTCTTCTGATTTAGACATCATTACTTGAGGCAAAAAGAATGTATTTGTCAATTCCAAAATTTCTATTCGCCAAAATATTTCAAAGACGATATGACTTTTAAAATCACTGAATTGTCTAGGGCGAGCCGCTAAACAAAACAACGACCACAACACATGGTATTACCAAGCGGTCACCCAACAATGTACTGACCAGTCTCGAAGTTGCTTAACTTCGGTGATTGTCTGAAAACCGTTGTGCCAGCGTCATATACATGTGTTACTTTACACTCTGATTGATATAGGGAACAGGCTTTTATATATATATATATATATATATATATATATATATATATATATATATATATATATATATATATATATATATATATATATATATATATATATATATATATATATATATATTATATATATTTGTCTATTTACGCTTTCGAAACAATTTGATTCAGCTCTGGAGAGAAAGGTGTGATTTTATAAACCGTGGCTGCTGCTGCTAAGACAATGCTCTACAACTAGAATCGAGCTCTCCCTATCCACTGACGTCTTTCGTAGAGAAAAAAAAACGTTAAAATTTCCCTTACTCTCGACCGTGTGAAGATAGCTTCTTGGTAGAATCTCTGACTAATGTCAAATTGGTCGGATTTCGATCCCGGCTTGAAAAAAATCGGATGGTTAGCCACACTGATGAGCTGTGATACTGCGAAAGAGTTTGTCTGTGGATGAATATATATATATATATATATATATATATATATATATATATATATATATATATATACATACAATGTAATCATAATCTTAACACTTTTAAGAAATCATCAACAAAAACTACATCAATCAGAGTTTTAGCAGACAGTAATAAAAAAACGAAACAACGGAGCCTGATAAAATTAGCCAATATAGCCAGACAAAAATAGCCCTAACCTAACCTTACACGACACCATAAACTTGACATATAACAAACACCCCTACTTTCATCAAAGCCGAAACCCCTTGATAATGAAAAAACAAACCCTAGGTCACACCTCCATTTCAAAACTATAATTGAATAAAACATTTCGTTGCTTAGTTATTCCAAACATGGCGTGAGGATGAAACAGTCATCCAAAAGTTAAGGTTTAATATTGAAATTAAACTTGAATACGGATGATCAGTTTCGAAACATAGTGATTCCTGTGTCGCGATGGAATCATATTTTTTTAAAAATAATCATAATTTAGGCTCTACTTCTGTATCGAGCACTGTTTTTTTTTTTTTAAATAAAAACAAAAATACTAAAGAACTTCGGATCATCAATCTAACGGTTCTTTCTTATATCAACACTCACATACACACACATATATATATATGTATAAACATAAAAATGTTTTAAAATAATTGTCGGACTTTGTCCATTTCATAATGTGACGTCATTTGTTTACATTTGATACGCCATGAGCAGATATGAATGTACGTGAGAGATTCATAGAAGATTGAAGTTCAAATACAGTAAATTCGACCTTGATAACCGAACGCTCCTCTGTAGCCAAATCGGTTAAGGCACGTCAAGCTAAATGTATAGGATACAGGTTCGAATCCTGTCGGAGGACGAATATTTTCTATGAAAATTTCTCGAATATTCAGGCCGGTAAATGTTGTTCAATACTACCTCGTCAGTCATGCATGGAAAGATACATGATCGCCTCAGCGTGTATCATGCATGGCACATAACTGACGGAAATATACAAAAATAGAAAGGTGAGTAAGACAAGGATATGCGTCTTCTCACCGGACTTATTAACCCTATACAGTGAGGTGATTCTGAGAGAATTATACAAGTCCTACCAGGATTTATTAATGGCGGCCACAATAAGCTATAAAAAATCAGACAATGTTGATAGCAAAGACAGAAAGCAAAGTGCAAAAGCTACAGAAACTACAGAAAGGAATGAAGAAAAGTCAGAACAAAAGACTAACTGTCAACTGAAAGAATTCATGGCTATTCGCAAAAGGAACAGCCTAATAGTCAAACTACAATTTGTAGATACCAATATCAAACAAGTAGAGGGTAAGGTAGAGAGGTCAAACGTTTTTGAAATGGCTATTAATCAACCCCAGGAAATACTTTTACAGATTTTGTAGGCGGGTTACTCACAATAAAACAAGAATCAAGTCCATATAAACATATGTCTGCAAATCCTTCGTTTTTGAGTTAAGTTTAAGGTAAGTTTCCATAGATCGCGCTATCTTGCCATATAGACTAGGTTATATTTGTCATTCCTGTACGTTTGCGGCTCGTGTCTTTAACGTTTAACATGTGTAGTAGTGAGTTAACAGAGAAGTGTTTAGTTTATATATATATATATATATATATATATGAAATAATCGAAGTCCGACAATTATTTTAAGACATTTTTATATAAAAAGAGCGTATAAACATAAAAAATATATTTCTTTACATTTGGATTCGCATCGAGTAGATATGAATATACGAGAGAAAATCATGGAGAATTGTAGTTTAAAAACAGTAAAATCGACCTTGCTAACCGAAATGCTCCTCTGTGGCTGAATCGGTAAAAAGTCGGTTCCGTATAGAATACATGTTCGATTCCTGTCGGAAGACGCATATTTTACATGAAAATATTCAGGCCGGTAAATGTTAATATTGTTTATTATAAACAGTGCATTTACTTAAATATTTCTATCTATAAAAAGTACGTATAAACATAAAAAAAAATGTCTTTATATATATATATATATATATATATATATATATATATAATGTTTATTATAAGAGATTCAAACAAAAAACATGTTGAAATCGCTACACAATAGATTTCATGTTTCGTTAATTTGTGCCTTTTCAGGTGATGGTAAGTATCTGGTGATTAAATGAATTTTAAGAAAATTTCAAAAGCAAAATTTTACCTCCTTTTCGAAAGATAAAGGGGAGAGGTGAGAAAACACAAGGTCAGAATTAAAAATGAATTTGTGGGTTTGTCTATCAAGACACACCCACAAGTTCATTTTTAATTCTTTAGTTAAATCTACGTTAAATAGAAAATTAAGCTCAGAGGGTGGAGGTGGGAAAGTTATTTTTCATGTCACGATAAACCGGAACTTCGACAAGTCATCATTGACAATTACGTGTAAGCAACAAATGAATCGTGATTGTAGATGAATATGACATGTTCAATTTTTCAAAGGACGCGGAGGGGTAGAAAGATAATCAGGCGTAAAGTTAATTTCGACGGATTTTTCTTTTAAATTTCAGATTCAGAAAGCTTCTTAAAGGAACCTATAATCAAAATTAAAAATGTGGAACATATGTAAATTAAAAATACTAACTGGGCAGCAATACTAAATCCGAAAATCCGAATAAACAAAATAAGATAATTACTCGTAGAGGATGAACTGTTATTTACTTATAAATTATGGCTATAAGAAATGGTACTACCTAATTTTTAGAATTTAACTATATTGTAAGGTAAAAGATAAATTGTGTCAACAATTAAAGGTTAATTCACTTCTTTGGTTTAATAAAAAGTTTTTGTCAGTAAATCGGATGATTTTTATTTTCTCATGTAAGCATAGGAAGCAAGATTCATTTAAAGATTTACAGGTTCTAGATTTTTTATTGTCTTCAATTTTAACGTAAGGGTTTTGTTAACTTTTAAGTAAAATGCTAAAAAATGCTAAAAAATGTTATATATAAATACAATCCTTATATATATACATATATATATATATATATATATATATAGTCTTAAGGTGTGCTATATTTATTGCATAAAGTGGTCAATATCAGAGATAGAGCGTGTGTAAATATAAAAGTTAACATTGAAGTCAACGCTCAGAGTCGACAGTCTGTGTCATGCTAGACGCAATCGTCAGGTCACGAGTGTTGTTCATTTTTTTTTTTTTGCTATTTATATTTACAGGTCAGTGGTGCATTGTGGGTAGTCTCTCTATATATAGATATATATAAACATTATATTTATATAAAACATTTTTAGCATTTTCATCTTGTTTATATATATTACGCTTTCAATAAGAATATGTTAATTGTATTATTTTTATTAATTTTTTATATTTATCATATATTTTTAAAGATTTATTTTGATTTGGAAGTTTGATATTAATTCGTGTTCAATGTTGTTTTGATCTTTTTGTGAACAAAGATACAATTATATAATTTCTTTTAAATTTTGAAAAATTAGGAAGAATTACAGCATGCTCCCCCAGCTGAATTCTTCAGATTTGAATCCAGAGCTGTTCTTCTCATAGACTGGCGGCCACCCAAAGCTAAAGCGCCCATTCTAACCTGCTACTAACACACAATTATATTATCCCCACTTTATCTAATCGATAAGTAAGAGGGCAGACTAAGCTTCCGATGACTTGGCAAAGTTCTTATCTAAGGTAAGGTACTTATCTAAGGTAAGGTACTTATCTAAGGAGATAACTCGTGTAATTCGTGGAGAAAGCAACGGAAAATTACTGTATCATTCCCGAACAATCATTGCAAATCGTAGGTATTAAATTAAGGGAAGTAACGGAGAGCCATAGCTAGGCTGTTGCTTAAGGAGATAGAGTTAAATAAAGCTCGAGTAATATGAACAAGGAGCACAAATTAAATGTAGTATGGACCTTTGCCACTGCCGTTTGTGCGCAGTAAAATTAAAAGATACATGCTTATCTTTGGAAAATCTGCTATTTGAGATTGTGTCTTTCGGGGTTAATTTCCCCAAGCTCAACCCGTTTATATTGCTTACTCTAATTTATCAGCTAAAAGTTAAGTTTCATTTCCAAGACACAGCGCTAAATGTCTTTCTTTCCTTCCATCTTCTAGAGAGATTTGACGAGAAGAATTCTTCAAATGATGTCAAACTGTGAAACACCAAAAACGGAATATCTCGATTGCTTTTACTTTCATCAAATCTTTGAAAAGAATTATCAACAATTTCAAAAATAAATCACAAGGAAGTGTCTACATTTTCCCTTGCTTTATGGAACGA